ATATGACTCAGCTATGCTACTACTCGGCATTTATCCAATTGAACTAAAATAGCATACTATAATGACACAGCCACATCAATGCAACTTTATAGCAGTGCAACTCACAATAGTCAAGTATAGAACCAGCCCAGGTATCTTTCAATAGAAAAAATGGATTAATGAAGTGTGGCATATATACATAATGGAGTTTTACTTTGCCATAAAGAAAAATGAAATTATGACATTTGCCAGTAAATTGATAGAACTAGAGAACATCATACTAAGTGAAATAAGCCAAACTCAGGAAGTCAAGGGTCAAATGTTTTCTCTCCTATTCAGAAGCTAGAGAAAAGTAAGGAAAAATTGTGGGGGAAGGAGTATTCTGAGGATAAAAGGAAGACCAATAGAGTATAAGAAGGAAATTGAGTGATAGGGAGAAGGAATGGGAAAAGGAAGAAAATGTGGAATGAATGTGACAAAAATACTCTATGTTCATGTTTTAGCCAGTTTTTTAATGATTGTGATGAAAATATATGACCAGAACAATTATGGAGAGTGTAAAGTTTATTTTGGTACTCATGGTTTCATAGGTCTCAAACCATAGATAGCCAATTCCATTGCTTTGGGCCAGAGGTGAGGCTGAATATCATGTCAAAAAGGTGTGGAGGAGAAAAGCAGCTTAGTACTTAGAACCAGGAAACAGAGAAAGACTTCTCTGCTCAATACAGACGAAACGTAAGTCCCAAAGGCATACCCTTAGTAACCTACATCTTTAGCTATACCCTACCTGCCTACAGTTACCATCCAGTTAATCCGTATCAGAAGATTAATGCACTGATTAGGTTGAAGCTCTCATAATCCAATCACGTCATTTGTAAACTATCTTGCATTGTCCCACACATGAGCTTTTCAGGAACACTTTATAGCTAAACCATAACTTTTGACCCCTTTCCCCCCAAAGCTCATGCCCATCTCACAAAACAAAATAGTCCATTTTCAAGCATCCCTACAGTCTTAACAACTCCAGCCTTATCAAAAATACAAGTTTCCGGGCTGGGGATGTGGCTCAAGTGGTAGCGTGCTTGCCTGGCATGCGTGTGGCCCAGGTTCAATCCTCAGCACCACATACAAACAAAGATGTCGTGTCCGTCGAAAACCAGAAAATAAATATTAAAAAATTCTCTCTCTCTCTCTCTCTCTCTCTAACTCTCTCTTTAAAAAAAAAAACTACAAGTTTCCTCTGAGACTCAAGGCAAACTCTCAGTATGATCCTCCATAAAAATCAAAAGCAATTTACATATGTCTTCTACATGAAGACCCAGAGTAAACCTATCCATTGAAAAGGAAGAAATAGAGGCATAGAAAAGGGGATGGAAGCAAAGCAAGACCAAAATTTCAGTGGGGCAAACAAGTTCCATAGGACCATGTCCAGTGTCTGGAGCACAAGGCATCATGCTATTCTTTTCAAAGGGCTTATATAGGTCCACCCCTATTGCCTTGCTGGTTTTAGCCCACATGGCCTCTCTCTTGGCTTATCTGTACTCTATTTCTCCAGATTTCCTCAGCACATGTTTTGCACTACTGGCATTTCTTAATTTGAGGGTCTCCACAGCAGCTTCAGGTTCCTTCTCACATTTTCACATATTGCCCCCTCCTGGGCTGCCTGCAGGGACTCCAACCCTGCTGCACTTTGATTGGCTTCCTAGGCCTTCTTTTGAAATCTCAGTGGAAGCCTTCATTACCTTCTAGCTCCCGTATCCTGTAATCCTGCAGAAATAGTATCATATTGTTTATGTCAACGTCTGCTGCCATCTCTAGCAGTAGACAAACCTCCTGGAACCAGGGCTCCAGTAGCCTCTGAGTGCCTGGGTGGCTGAACTGATGAAACAACTTCCTGCCCATCCTCCCTCATGCAAGTAGGGTACCCCAGTGGTATTTTCTCAAAGGAATTTTTACTTTTACATCCTTGTGACTCAGATGGGTGTGATCTTGCCAATTCCTCAGATGCCCTCAAGCCATCCTGGTGTCTTTGGGTAAAGTATTTAGAATCACCTTAGTGATTATAAAGTCTTCAACGACTACAAAGTACTTAGCCCTAGTTTTACACTTATCTAGCTGAACTTCAAGTTGTTCAAATCTTTCTGCTCTGCTTTCTGCTCCTGCTCATCACAGTAAACTTTGCTAAAAGCTGTCAGCAAAACTCATGCAACTACCTGAATGCTGTGCTTCCTAGAAACTTCTTTTCTCAGATTAATTAGTCTATCAGGTTTAAAGTCAGCCCCACAGAAAGTTTTAAGACTTTAAGAGAGAACATTTTCTTAGGGAAAATGTAGACAACTTCTTTGCTAAAATGTAACCTGAATGGCCTCTAGTCCAATTTCCAACAGAGACCTCTTCCTCCTCTGAAACTTCACAAACCCAGTCTACTGTCCACAGTCCTGTCAGCATCTTGGACTTTTTTTTTTTGTATCAAGGATTAAATCCAGGGGTGTTTAACCTCTGAGCCCCATCCCAACTCTGTTTTTATGTTTTATTTTGAGACAGGCTTTCACTAATTTTATCAGAGGTTGGCTTTGAATTTGTGATCTTCCTGTCTCAGCCTGCCAAGCTGATGGGATTACAAGCATGCACCAGAACAACCAGCTCATCGTGGACTTCTGAACTCCCACAGGAATCATCCATTAAGTTCCACTTACAACAATCTAAAACTTTTCCTGTGTGCATCCCTAAATGTCTCAAAATTTCTCCCACAAATTCCAAAAAGATCCAAAAGTTATGAACCACATGGTCAGGTTAGTTACAGCAACGACCCCACTCCTGGTACTCATTTCTGCTTTAGTCAGTTTTTTATTGTTGTGAACAATTTTAGAGGATGAAAAGTTTACTCAGGGCTCACAGTTTCAGAGGTCTAAGTTCATAGATGGCCAACTCCATTGTTTTGGGTCCTATGTGCATCAAATCATGACAGAAAGGTGTTGAGGAGGAAACAGTGTCATACTTGGAACCAGGAAACAGAGACTTCTCTGCTCAACAAGAACAAATATAAATCCCAAAGACACACCTTCAGAGACCACATCTTCAGCTACACTCTACCTGCCTACAGTTACCACCCAGGTAATCCCTATCAGAGGATTAATGTACTGATTAGGTTAAAACTATCATAACCCAATCATTTCACCTTTAGCCTTTCTTGCATTGTCTCACACATGAGCTTTTTGGGCACACCACAAATCCAAACTATAACAATACATGTATAAATATACCACAGTTAATCCCACCTTCATGTTTATATTTATAATGCACCAATTAATAATGAATAAATAAAGAATACTTGTGGAAAGAATACCAGTGGCAATAAAAGAAAGGGAATAGTGGGAAGGGAAGAAGGATGAGTTAGGAGATGGTCAATAGACAGAAATGGAATAAATTAAGTTCCATAAATGTATAATAATATCAAAGTAAACCCAACTATTATGTATAACTATAATACATAATAAATGCATTTTTAAATGTTCTAAAAGAAAAGAAAAAAATAACTGCTTTTGAGTAATTAAAGTATATATTCAATGGTCAGTGGACATTCCCTGATCACATGATGATTCCTACCATTCTGCCAGCCCTCTACAAATCCCTTGTATCTGTGTCTTCTCATATCTTTATATTCTCAACCTTGTGTAGCATTCTGATTTTATTTTATGGAAGAAAAATTGGGTCAGAGAGGTTAATGGCTTGATGACCACCAAACACAGTTCAAGTTTGTTATGGTTTGAATAAGTGTTTTAAAGGCTTTGAGGCACTATTGGCACTATTGAGAGGTAGTAAATCCTTTAAAATGTTAGTCCTAGTGGGAGGTCTTTAGGTCATTGGAGGCTTACCCTTAAAAAGGGGATACTGAGACCCTGGCCCCTCCTCATTCTCTCTTTTGCTTCCCAGACATAGAGTAAGAGGTTTTATCCATTAAGAACTACTACCATGGGGCTGGGGATATAGCTCAGTAGGTAGGGTGCTTGCCTCACATGCACAAGGCTCTGGGTTCAATCTCCAGCATCATAAAATTAAAAAAAAAAAAAAAGAACTACCATGATGTACTGTCTCACCATAGGACCAAAAGCAATGGAGCCAACTGTTCATAGACTGAAACATTCAAAACTGTAAGCCAAAACAAACCTTTTCTCTTATTTAAAAGTTAATTATCTCAGGTATTTGTTAGAGTACAAAGAAGCTAACATAGAGCAAAGATGAAGACATTGTATAATGGTAAAACACATGTGCTTTACCAAACAAAAAGACTGAGTTTATATCCTGGCTTTGATAAAATGTCAAAATGATTCTGTGTAAATTGGCGAACCAATTTTTGGTCTTTACTTTTAGGAATACTATCTTATTAAATTGAAAGTTATAATAAATTGGCTCAAGTTATGATCTGAAATATTTAATTTTAATTTTTCTTATTTCTTGAATTTATGTTTCTCAGTGGTTTGAGAGTATTTACTTTTTGAAATGTTGTTATCTTAATCACCTTTATTAGTATGGCCATTTTAACAATACTATTTCTACCTATCCAAGAATGGGGGGTCTTTCATCTTCTAAGCTCTTCTTCAATTTCTTTTTTTATTTTTCTATAGTTTTTAATGTAGACTTCTTCACCTAATTTGTTAGATTGATTCCCAAACACTGGGGGTTATTTTTTTTAGGCTAGTATGATTGGGGTACCTTTCCTAATTTCTTCTTCAACAGATCCATCATTGGAATATACAAATTGATTTGGGGGTATTGATTTTTGTATCCTGCTACTTTGTTGAATTCATTTATGAGTTTTAGAAGTTTTCTGGTGGAGTTTTTTTTTTTTTTTTTGATCTTCTATAGGATCATGTCATTGGCAGAAATAATTTGAGCTCTTCTTTTCCTATTTGTATCCCTTTAATTTCCTTCTCTTGCCTAATTGCTCTGGCTAGAGATTCAAGGACTATGTTGAATAGGAATAATGAAAGTGGTCTTTTGTGTCTGTTTCCTGCTTTTAGAGGGAATGTGCTCAGTTATTCTCAATTCAGAATGATGTTGGCTTTGCGTTTGTTGTGTATAGCATTTACAATGTTGAGGTATGTTCCTTCTAACCCTAATTTTTCTAGTGTTTTAAATACAAATGGATGTTGAATTTTGTCAAATGCTTTTTCTGCATCTATTGAAATAATCATATGATTCTTGTCTATAAGTCTATTGATGTGATGAATTAAATTTATTGATTTGTTGATATATTGATATGTTGAACCAACTTTGCAGCCCTGGGATGAAACCCACTTGACCATGATGTATTATCTTTTTAATGTTTTTGTATGTAATTTGCCAGTATTTTATTGAGAATTTTTGCACCTATGTTCATCAGTGATATTGGTCTGAAGTATTCTTTTCTTGATGTGTCTTTGGTTTTGATATCAAGGTGATACTAACCTCATAGAATGAGTCTGGAAGGGTTCTCTCCTTTTTTATTTCATGGAATAATTTGAATGGAATTGATGTAAGTTCTTCTTTGAAGGTCTGGTAGAACTTGGCTTAGAATCCATCTGGTCCTGGGCTTTTCTTTATTGATAGCTTTTGATGATTTCCTCAATTTCATTTTCTGAAGTTGATCTGTTTAAATTGTTTATATCCTCCTGGATCAATTTGGGTAGGTCATGTTTCTAGGAATGTGTTGAAGTCATCAAGATTTTTCTAGTTTATTGAAGTATAATTTTCAAGTTTCTGGTAATTTCTTTATTTCAATAGTATCTGCATTGATATTTCCTTTTTCATCAGACATTCTAATAGCTTGAGTTTTCCCTCTTTCTTTCCATTAGCTTGGCTAAGGGTATATCAAATCAATTTTGTTAATTTTCTCAAAACTATTTTTTCCATTGATTTTTTTAATTTTTAATTTTTTATTTGTTTTTTTAGTTATACATGAGAATAGAATATTTTTAATTATTTTTTTTATTTTATGAGACAGTGTAATGCATTAAAATTCTTATAACATATATAGAGCACAATTTTTCATATCTCTGGTTGTATACAAAATATATTCACACCAATTCGTGTCTTCATACATGTACTTTGAATAATGATGTCCATCACATTTCACCATCCTTGATAACCCCCTGACCTTTCCCTTTCCCTCCCATCCCTCTGCCCTATCTAGAGTTCATCTATTCCTCCCATGTTCCCTCTCCCTATCCCATTATGAATCAGCCTCCTTATATCAGAGAAAACATTCAGCATTTGGTTTTTGGGGATTGGCTAACTTCACTTAGCATTATCTTCTCTAACTCTATTCATTTACCTGCAAATGCCATGATTTTATTCTCTTTTATTGCTGAATAATATTCCATTGTGCATATATGCCACATTTTTTATCCATTCATCTATTAAAGAGCATCTAGATTGGTTCCACAATTTAGCTATTGTGAATTGTGCTGCTATAAGTATTGATATGGCTGTGTCCCTGAAGTGTGCTGTTTTTAAGCCCTTTGGGTATAGACCAAGGAGTGGTATAGCTGGGTCAAATAGTAGTTCCATTTCAATTTTTTCAACGAATCTCCATACTGCTTTCCATATTGGCTGCACCAATTTGCAGCCCCACCAGCAATGTATGAGTGTGCCTTTCTCCCACATCCTCACCAACACTTATTGTTGTTTGTCTTCATAATAGCTGCCATTCTGACTGGAGTAAGATGAAATATTAGAGTAGTTTTGATTTGCATTTCTCTAGTTGCTAGTGATGATGAACATTTTTTCATATATTTGTTGATTGATTGTATATCATCTTCTGATGATATACAGGTCCTTGGCCCATTTATTGATTAGGTTTGTGTGTGTGTGTGTGTGTGTGTGTGTGTGTGTGCTTAGCTTTTTGAACTCAGTAGAATATTTGTAAAAAAAAAAAAAAGACTTTTCTAGTTGTAAATGTATCTTTTATTATTTATTTATATGTGGTGTTGAGGATTGAACCCACATATGCCAGGTAAGCACTCTACCACTGAGCCACAACTCAGTGAATTTTGACATTTCATATATATATGGAGTATAAATTCCCATTTTTGTGGTTGTACATGATGAAGAGACCCTATGATCATTTATTCACATTTGAACAATGGAAAGTTATATCCAATTTATTCTATTGTCTTTCCATCCCTATTCCCCTTTATTTGCCCTCCATTTGGCCATGTCCAATCCAGTGAACCTCCTCTTTTCCTCCCCTGCCTGTTGTGAGTCAGCATCTACATATCAGAGAGAACATTTGGCCTTTGTTTTGCGGGGGTTGGCTTATTTCATTTAGCACGATAGACTCCAGTTCCATTCATTTACTGGAAAATGCCATAATTTTGTTCTTCTCTAAGACTGAATAATATTCCATTGTGTATACGTACCACATTTTCCTTATCCATTTATCTATGAAGGGCACATATGTTGGTTCCATAGCTTATCTATTGTGAATTGAGCTGCTATAAATACTAAGGTGGCCATACCACTGTAGTATGCTGATTTTAAGTCCTTTGGATATATGCCAAAGAGTGGGATAACTGGGTCAAATGGTGGTTTCATTACAAGTTTTTAATTTTTTTAATCTCAGTTATATTTATTTTGTCTCTGATTTTAATTATCTTCTGTTTTCTACTGACTTTCATGTTGGTTTATTCTTTTTCTAGGACTTTGAGATGTGATGTTAGCTTATTCATTTGTTATCTTTCTATTCTTATAACGTATGAGTTGAACACTATGAACTTTCCTCTTAGAACACCCTTTATAGTGTCTCAGAGATTTTGATATGTTGTATTATTATTCTCATTTGCCTCTAAGTATTGTTTTATTCTACCTCTGATTTCTTCTGTTATCCTTTCCATCATTCAAAAGTATATTATTTAGTCTACAGGTGTTAGAGTGGTTTCTATTCTTTACCTTATCATTGATTTCTAATTTCATTCCATGATGATCTGATAGAATGAAAGCTATTATCTCATATCTCTATTTTGTTTATTTGCTAAGATTTTCTTTGTGGCCTAAAACATGTCTATTTTCAAAAATGTCCCATGTGCTACTGAGAAGAAAGTGTATTCAGGCATTTATGGATGAAATATTATATATATATATATATATATATATATATATATAAAGTCTAAATTATTAATTGTATTTTTTAGTTTTGTAGCATCTCTGTTTAGTTTTTGTATGTATGACCTATTTAGCAATGTATGAGGCATGTTAAAGTCACCTAGTATTATTGTGTTGTGGCCTATTTTATTCTTAATATCGAGAAGGGTTTGTTTGATCTATGTAGACACTCCATTGTTTGAGGCATTAATATTTACAATTACTTTTCTTAAGCAGTATAAAATGACCTTTTTTGTCTCTTCTGATTAATTTTGGCTTGAAGTCTACTTTATCTGGTATGAGAATAGTAAGATGTTGTTTTTGAGATCCATGTAAATGGTATATTTATTTTTTCCCATTCTTGCACCTTCAGTCTGTGATCCAGAAACAATTTTGAGAAGGAATCTACAAGGAACAGTCTAGGAATTCTGCTTGGAAACCCTCATTAGCCAACTACCTAGCCCCAGAGGATCAGTCATCTAATTAAAGGACTTGCAAAATAAATCCTGACATGAGAACATATCATTTCAGTGATTTCAAAGTAAATGGCATCCCTTGGACTTGTACAGTGCACAACCAGAACAATCATGTATTATCAATTGTTCCCTTCCCATCCAAACCTCAGTTCAAACCACCAAATACATCTTTAGTATATAACATACAGACAGTATTGCTTCAAAAAAAAAGTGATAATCTATTGAGACATAAGCATCTTTAAATGTCTAAAAAAGGAGAGGGATCCTTAGGAACAGAACTCTTTCATCTGCATTAAGCCAGCAGTGAAATGACTGCTATTGGAATTCCTGTTGTGATTTTCTCAGATCCCAGCCAATGCTGTCAGTCTTCAGGCCCCTTAACTCTAGCTTCTGACTGATCCCATGACTGTGAACTCAATTAAACTATTTTCTCACTTCATCAGTAACAATATTTAGCATACTAGACCCTCTTCAAGAAAATAGACAAGTAAGCCTTAAAATTCCTGAAGAACGATCTACTGTGGGCTTCATTAGGTCAAAAAGCCTCATGGAAGAAAAGGACTACAATGAAGAAAATAGCACTACAGACTGAGGTTGCTAGCAAGATGAAGAGATTGACTCCATCATCCAGCATCTTCTCAACAATTCAGTGGGTTTGATTATGTAGAAGTGATCAACATAAGAATTTTTCACCACTAGATCGTAAGCTGTATTCTGGGACTATTAACCTTATACATCATTTATCCTCAGGCTTCCAAACACTAGAATATAAAGTGATAGAATTTTTGAAGTTGTTTTGCAGAATAACAAGGTTACCAGTCATGTGATTTTTTCAATCACTCATCCTCCAACCCCAGACTCCAAATCCAGCTTCTTCTCTGTTGTCATTATGTAACTCAGAGACTTCTTTGTCCAAATGATACAGACTGTCCTCTTTAGCTTACATCAACTAATGTTTTTCTCTTTGAAGGTTTTTTGAAAATGATAATGCTATTGATCAATTTCATTGAATATGTGCACAGTACTTTATAATTTATTCTATGATTTAATTAACCATAGATTAAAAATAGTCCATTTATGTAACAAGGGAACTAAACCTCAGAGCAGTTATATAAATCAGCCAAGATTTAATAGGCAGAAAATATTAAGTCAGGGTTAGAACCAACTCTAGATGACCCTAGAGTCTATGTCTTTTATCTTATTGCCAGGTACTTGCCTTTGATAAAGGATGTAGAAGACTGGGAAGCTTTTCAACATGCAGGATGAAGTGGTAGATTGTGACTGATAGGCGAAAGAGTTGGAATGGTTGGCAGAGACACTCCTCATCAGGCAGTTACTTTTGTAATGACAACAAAAGATAGGAATGCCTGAGATAAGCCCTGCTCCATCAGTCCATTCTCACTTAGTCATTCTCACATATTTTTTTCTTTGATAATAGGACATGGTCACTATAGCAACTACTTACTTGCCTGAAGTGACTGAAAAAAGATTTTCTTTCAAAAATGTTTCTATATGAATTCCTGAGAATTGGGAAAGAAGTTCTGAATACAGGAGGCTGAAAACATGACAGCTACAAACATGTATCAATATCTTCTCTGAAAAAAAAAAAAGAATGCTTTTTTTTTCAGAGAAAAAAGAATTCTAATGCTTCTCAGTTTTGCCACAAATTGATTGCATCAGAGTCTTTCTAACTAAATATTAAATTTTCTGTTCTGATGTTTTAATGATCTTTTTAAACATTCTTAAGTTCATTTTGGAGTTACAGCACCAGTCCTCCCAGACAGAGATGAACCCGACACCAGGCAGTTCACAAACTATGGAAAGAAAGCAGAACACATTCATTTCACCCTCAACTATGTACTTGGAAAAATACAAAATGAGTATGGGCCATCAAGTAGGAAATGTGGTTTAGATATCTCATTTTAACAAACATCTCTGTTCACAGTTTTAAGTGCATACACTTTTCAAAACATGCTGTACATGATAAATTGATACAATTTTTGTCACTTTAAAACAAAAATTAATTAAGCAAAAAAGTTGGCTCTTCTAGACTAAATGCTAACCACAGAGATTTAAATATCTTCTTTAAAGTTCCCTTCCAAGAAGTCCCTATCTTTTACTTTGTCTTTTCTCAGGATTCCATTCAGCACATGTCAGTTTGCAATTTTGTTGAATCTATTTAGTGTCCAGAGCTTCACTCTCTATCCTGTATGAAAAATTATTTCAAGATTCTAGATCAAGAAAATATCCATGAGAGCTTTTCCAATGATTTACTGGTCCTTATTTCTAAGGCCCTTGCTCTCTCTATTCAAATATTCTAGTCACTCATGAGCAGTATCTTTTGGATATCATCATGAAGATGAGTAAACTGAGGGTATACACCAACACACACACACACACACACACACACCAGTTCTTCTTTGTCGATTCTTGCCCATGTCCAGTGCAGACGATGGAATTGGGATCCCTCTTTGTGGAGTGGGCTGGCTGGGGCATAAAAGCTAATAAAGATAAAACAGCAAAAAAAAAAACAGTACTTGGGAAGTAATTTTGAAAAGCGGGGGCAGGTCGGCTCTTTGACCTTAGGGATTGAGCTTCCACTCTGGAAAGAGATATCAATGGAGCCTACACTTGCTTTATTTTATGGGGGGACATCAAAGGTTTCCAATGGAATGTTTTTTGCCAAATAAGGTAGGAGGTGGACTGTCCAGTTCCCAATGGGTTACGCCCAACTCCAGAGCCACAAGAGTTGTCTCACTAGTAAAGCAAAGACAGAGATCTCATGCCTTGGGTGGTCTGGTATGCATGAAAAAGCCAGGATATTTCCCAAGGAAAAATCCTAAGTCCCCATGGCTCAGTATTGAGTAAAGACCCCTCAAGTAGCTCATGAGTGGCTTTCCCACAGTCTTATAGCACCCTTTAATACTAAAGACTGGCATGGGTATTTACCCAGAAAACTAAAATAATAATAATAATAATAATAGAATCATGCCCTCAACTATAAATCCATTCTTGCAACCTAAGGCTCCTATCATACCCTGTTTTTCTCTAAGACCCTCTATTTCCACACTTTCCAACTGACAACTGCTGCATCCCAAAGAGCTTTCAGAAAGATCTCAAGTCTAAGGTGTTATGCCATATATTATTTTCAGATCAGAAACTGCAAAATTGCAAATAATCTTTAAAAGAAAAATAATAGAATTATTATATTCTACAGTCATTAGTATTTAAACAACATTTAAACAGCTAAAAAGTGAGGTATTAACCCTGAGCAATGATTTCTGGATGAATGACACTGTAATAATTGATAGCACTGTGGAAAAGGACACATTCTTCTTGTCATATGGGACACACTCCCAGTATTTCTCCATGGAATCCCAACAGAATACTAAGGTAAGCTTTCACACAGGACACTGTTTCAAAAATGACCTAAGTATTTCAAGAAGAGGATGAGTAAGCAATCGACTTGTAAACTTTTTAAAAATTTTGTCAGAAAATAAAAATAAATTGTTAATGTCATACATGTGATTTTCAAATGTCTATGTTGCAATAATTATATTCACAATTATTTTTCATATGTCATCCTAAGAATTTTATGAGAGGAGAAAAAAAACAGAACTTAAGTGGGAGTAAGAAAAAAATAAAATAAAATGGTAAAATACAAGTTGCCCAAAGAGTTTTAAAGAGTAAATGTGGAGAGAATCGTTTGAACTGGCACACACTCTGCTAAAATTTCCTTCCTAATTAATCCCAATTAGAACCATGAAATGTTACTCTTAAAAGAGTAAGACTTAAACATTGGCACCTTTCAAGATATGCATTTCCAACCAGAAATTTCACCAGGTGTATACACTATGCATGACATTAGTTGAGGTTATATAACTGAATTTGCCTTAGTTCTCATTATGGGATATTATAAAATGCCTCAAAAATCTGTTTGGAATATTACTCAGCTTTAAAGAAAAGTAAAATTATGGAATTTGCCAGTAAATAGTTGGAGTTGAAGAATATCATGCTAATCAAAATAAGCCAATCCCACGAAACCAAAGGCCAGAAAGTTTTCTCTAATATGTGAATGCTAATTCACAATAAGTGTGGGGCACTAGGGAAGAATAGCATTGCCTTAGATTAGGTAGAGGGAAGTGATGGGAGGGGAGGAGAGGCAATGTGGAAATAGGAAAGAGTAGAATGAAGCAGACATCATTACTGTATGTATATATGTGACTGCATGACCAATATGATTCTGCAACATGTACACTCAGAAAAATGAGAAATTATATCCCATCTATGTATGATATATCAAAGTGCATAAATGCATACTGTCATGTATAACTAATTAACATGAATTAAAAAATTTAAATAACAATGTCTAAACACACACCATAAAAAAAGGAACAAAAGTAAATTTAGATAGTGAAAAATACAATGTATTTTGGTCATTTAGTTTTCATAAACAGAATGAAGTCGACATAAAAAAAGAGTCAGTAAAAACAAACATTATTTACAGGAATATTAGAGAGGAAAAAGGAAAAAAATGTTTAAAAAACTGACCAAAACCTCAAGGAACTGTGGGACATACCAAAAGATCTAAGATTAGTGAGTTTAACTCCAATTAAGTATAGAAGTTTAAATATGCATATTGTAATCCTCATAGTAACCACTAAAACAAAACAAAAAGATATAACCAAAAAGTCAATAGATAAAATAATATGATTTTTTTAAAAAGCCAAATCATCCATTAGAAGGCAGAAAAGGAAGAAAGGGAACAAACCAACCAGGAAAAAAAAAAAGCATAAAAAATATTAGTACTCTTGAAATCCAGCCATATCGATAATTACATTAAGTGTTAATCAGGCAACATAAAATACTACTTGCAAGTCAAATCCAGCCTGCTACCTGTTCTTATAAATAAAATTTTATTGGGACACACACACAAAAAAAATCTATTTGGTCCCTCAGAAGATTTTTTTTTCAAATTGCATAAGGAAAACAGAAAATAGCTTCATAGCAGAAACATATCATATTGCCACTGAAACTATTAAGTAACAGTCTTAAAGCAAAAGCAAACCCAGAAATACTGTGATAGTAACTTCACATGCAACAAATTCTTCTGTGCTTTCCAATTGCAGCAAATGCTAATTTGAACAAAGACACAGTTTCACCAGCCCAGTGATCACCATCATCAAAAGAGTCCAGATAAGGAGGGTGAAGCACAAGCAGACAGATGGGATTAACCCAGGCCTCTGGAAGAAAAAGGGTGAGAAACAAGAGTAACTCCCAACAGCTAGAACAAAGACTGAGTCTTGAGAGCCAAAGCCAGTCAGAGCTGCTGCAAGAGAGAGGGCACATGGCTGGGATATCAAATACAAGATCTTAATGTAGGAAACAAGGAACTATGCCAGCCATCTCTGTCTCCCCTTCTTTGTATGGGTTTGTAGTGCTTAAAAACCTATTTCCAGAATCTGTATTGTTCTCTGAACTGAACCTTCTTGTAAGAGGTAATTGAGCAAGAAAATAAGCAATTACACACAACTGAATTCTAACAGATTTCTATCAGTACCTTTCCCAATATAATTTACTCTGTCATTTTATAATACTGTCTAAAACTAGAGTTGGCAAATTGTTCCTAGGTGCACCTCAATATCTTCTTTCGGTATAAGAATATTTCCACAACTATCCTTTGGTTTTTTTCCCTTTCCATAAAACCATCTATACCACATTAACTTATCTCTCTTACTTCATTCCTTAGCATTTTACCAGATGAATATTTAGCTAATCGGGAAATAGCTAGTTTGAAATGCCTTTACCTCAGAAAGCATTACTGATTAACAATGGCTTAGAGCAGGCATTCTCAAACTTCAGTGTTAAAGGGAATCATCAGGAGAGTTTGTTAAAACACAGAATGCTGAGGCCCTTCCCATGGTAGTCTGAGAGATTTACATGTATAAACATCTCTAGATTTTTAGAGAAACCGGTATACTGGTCCAAGGACCTCATTTTAATTCCTTTAGTTAAAATGTAAAGCCTCCTTGGAAATGTGTTTTGCAATTTCAAAGGTGACTCCAAAACTAGTGTTATCGAGAAGCTCTTTATAAACATAATCACTTCCCGATGATGGGTTTGAATGTGTAAGTTGGGGATGAACATGAAAGAGTTGAAGTACGGTTTTGTAGAATAAATAAAAGTTATTTGGGGTTCCAGGAATTTAGCAATCCAAGAAAAAAGAACAGAATAAAGGAAAGAGGGTGATGGACACTAAGAAAGAAAGGGTCAACAAGCCATTTTTAATGGTGGGGTGTATCAAAAATGTAAAAATATGTGATTTCACATTGTTCCTTGTGTTGGTGTATTTGGTTTTGGTTCACTGTATTGCTTTAATCTGGCAAAAACAAAGCACAGCCATCTTCTTTCAGAGTCTGGAACTAATTTGGAAATAGACATAGGAGTCATGACCGAAACATTAGTTGTATATATAGTGAAGTTCAACTAACAAGTGTGGTTTGATCTAAAGCCACAGTTGGGATATCTAATGCTTTTCCTCATGTCTGGAAATCAGACAAATCCTCCTTTTATTACCCCAAAGATATTGTCTGAAAGACAGATGCTCATCTCACTAGGTACAAAGGGAATCACAGCCCACATTAATTAGAATCTGATGGTAGGGAAAGAAAAACTGGTTTCCAGATCTGCCTTTTCTTCAAAAGGACAGTACCCTGACCATGTGTGCTCAGCCCAAGGAATCCAGAGCAGAATGCACACACTGAGGATGGGAAGATCAAAAAGAAGGAGGAAGAAACTAAACTTCCTAGATAAATTTCAACCCATTTATATCCCAGGTTCTGCGCTAATGGCGAGTAACTTATAATAACTGAAATCTAGTATCACCTTCAGAAAATGTGTAAGGGTGAGCAACTAGGCTTTGCAAAAAGAAACTCTTCCCATTTTTTCTTAGAAATATGATTCCTTTAGGAACAGAAATGAAATAATAGACCACATGCCTACCTAAATAATAATATAAATATTCCTATCATAATGAAAGAAAGTGGCTATTACTCTTCTAACATGTGACTGACCCATGATTTTAAAATCCTATGACAAAAGATCCTTCTATTATCACGGTAGTCAGTTCTGACTCGACTTGGAGAATTCAGTGTTGTTCATCTGAAGACCCAGAAAGCCTGGAATGGGATGGTAAAAAGAAAAAAAAAAGACAGAAAATTAGCACTCCATTTTATGTACTTGGCATTTTCATTCTCCCTCTGAGTAATAAGTAAGGAACTTCTCTCATGATAAATTTAACATGGAAAAGTACAAATACGTTTATTTTGTGACTCTTGAAAAAAAGTTATTGAGTCAATAAAATGTCTGTTAGAGCTACAAAGGGAGTAGAAGAGAGAATTATTAACCCAGTAAAGATAAGTTATCCTAAGATCTTAAATGTTAACCCAAAATGTCAATACTGTATGACAGAACCAAAATCAGTTTTCAATTCTTTATAAATTCACACACATTAATTATACATATTAATGGGATTCACTGTGATATTTCCATATACACACAAAGATTACATTAATCATATGAAAACAATTATTAATTTAACTTTATATATTGATTTCCTTTTTGAGTTATGATCTGAAAACTAAGTCTAATATAACCATACTTGAAGTTGAAAGATTATGCATAATAAAGGTTTTATTTAAGAATAGTGCATAGTAATTATATTTGAAAAAAAATGAAACATTTACCAATTTTGCATTTTTGCACTTATAAACTTAAAGATACTATTAAAAGTGATATAAAAATTTGTACAAATAAATCTGAAATTTGTGTATGATATTCAAGGACACAGGAAGGATTGTAGCAAAATAATCTCAGCATTAAATACATCAAATACCCCAATCTGGTGTAGAATTAGAGAGGAAATAAAAATTGAAATTCACCTTAAAAACTCTGTGGAAACAAATGTTAAGTATATAGGTTGAATAAAAGAGACTATTGACACTGCTATACTAAAACTTGTAGGATGTGGCCAAAAATAGTAGTCAGTGTACTTGTTTTAACCTTATTTCTAAACAACAATAAAACAAACAAAAATAAATTAGCTAAGCAATTAACTTGGTAAAGCAGCTAGAGAATTGTATTAGAAACCAAAAAGTAACAAAATAAATGACTAATAATAAAAGAAGAAATTAATGAAATGCAAGTGATACCAATAACAACCAAAAGCTGCTAAATAATCTTAAATGTAATTCCTAGGACTAGTAAAGGTATGGGAAAAGTTTCCTTACATTTTATAATCCCCTGAACTGGAAACCTGAATGCAGAGAAATATTCATCAATAATGGAATTCTTCAATTATAGTTAAACTATATTGTAAAATTGTTTTCAACATTTAAGAAAACGGAGATGATTGTATTTGTACCACCATGGACTAAGTCATGCATACACATTGCCAACCTCAGGCACACTCCTGTACCCACGGTACAATTTCTCTATTATTATCTTTAAATCAATTCACTTTAAGAGAAAAAAAAAACAAACTTGATGTCATTTTATCTGTGGAAACACAAGTTTGATATGTTAGATACATTTTTTTTTTGTCATGCATGAAAATGAATCCCCAACAAATGACATTTTCAAAACTCTTCCTTGTCCCAGTCATAGCAAGGAGACCCAGGCCTCTCCAATGTATAAGATTGTATAAGTTATCTTTCTTCCAAGTGATCTAGTCTATGTTATGCTTTCTATTGAGTTTTTTATTTTATTATATCCTTCATTTCAAAGATTCCTGACTGGTTGTTTTTCAGAGTCTCTACCTCTCTCTTGAAGTAATCTTTTGCTACCTGTATTTGCTCTCTTATCTCATTGTTGGAATGATCAATTTTTGCCTGTATTTGCTCATTTAGGTCATTCTTTAATTCACAGATCATTTTAATTATGAACTTTCTGAACTCCTTCTCTGACATTTCATCAACTTCACTGTCTGTGGGTTCTGTTATTATAGTGTCCTGGTTTGTTTGGGGCACTTTCCTCCCTTGTTTTTTTATGTTGTCTATGTGTCTTCCTTTCTTGCAGTGTGGATCTAAGATAGTGCATTTTCTTTCCTATATTCCATGCAGATTGTCTCACTTTGATGTTAGGCTTCCAGACCCTCCTGGTGTCCCTCAATGAATGCTACTACATCCTGTATCTGGGTCCTGTGCAAGTTAGTGTGGGTGATCTAGGCTTCTGGGCTTGACCTCCCTCTATGGTCTGCTGGTCAGAAGGGGTGGTCCTTCGTCAGAGGCTAGACTCTGGTGGGTGTCTGCCCTGCCAGGGGAGGAGTGGACAGGGCCTGCTGTGAGCCTGGGAGCCGTACAGGTTGGTGTGGGTGGATCTGGGCCAGGGCTTGACCTCCTGAGATGAGATTTTCATTTCTAATAAGCTCCCAGGAGATGTTCATCCTGATGATTCAAAATGATATTTTGAGTAGCAAGGACAAAATGAAAAAACATGAACTCTACATAATACTGATATTTTCACCTGTTTTCAGATCTCATGTGGTAAATTTACAATACAAAAGCATACTTCAAAACAGAACAGACTATATTTCTGACCTCTCCTTTTTTTTATCTCCATTTTCTCAGAAGTTTTGTTCTTTTGCTGTTGTTTTTTCCAGGGGTGGGAGGCGGGGGGCTGGCTGGTTGGTTTTGGTTTTGGGTTTTGTTGTTATTGTTGGTACTAGGTATTTAACCCAGGGTTGCTTTGCCACTGAGATACATCTCCAGCCCCTTTTTATTTTTTATTTTGAGACAAGGTCTAAGTTGCTAAGGGTCTTACTAAGTTGCTGAGGCTGGGTTTGAACTTGTGATCCTCCTGCCTCAGCTTCCCAAGTCCTTAGGGTTATAGGCATGGGCCACTGCACCCAGATCCTGAGAAGTTTTTACTTATCATGGCTAATGCAAAATTCCCCTCACTTGTTTTCCTTCCTGCAACTTACACTGTTGATTTATTTATATCCTTCCATCCACTGAGTTCTTTAGGGAAAAAAAATGTTTGAATTTTCTCATCTCTAAGCAGTTCCAAGCCAAGGACTGTATCTTACTCATCTTCCTATTTTCTGGTGCCTAGTGCCATGCTAAATATAAAGTTAATAATAATAGTAATTGTTACATAATGCAGGTTAACGATGTATTAAATTTTGAATGAATCATTTTATTTCCACATCACTGTAATTATATATAATCTATAGTAGTGTTTATCCATCTTTTTATCATCTTTACTCATGTAATTGAACCTTCTTATGCAATTTTTCCTAATGTCCCTTATGACATTTTACTGTCCCAGAAACACTATATAACTGTTTACACTGTTAGCTTTGGACTTAGGATCCTGAGACTCACATCATTGTAATATCTGACTTTTTACCCCCAAGAACAAATTTTGCCCCATTAAAAACATTACTATTCCCTTGAGAATGCATTTTAGCATAAGAAATTGTGGCATAGAAAAGTAATTTGTTCAAGAACACAATTAAAAGTGGGCAATAAAATTTGGATAAATAAAATAATAAATGAATAATTAGGTGGATAGATATAAAGATGAATAATGCAAAAAGAATGTTGCCTTTCCTGACCTGAACAAACTTACAAACTATGTTGTAGATGTTAGTCTCTCCTAATATATAGCTACAAATGCCTGAAGAACAATCTTTTGG